GAAAACTTATTAAAACATAACTTATTTAATTTTATAAATATATTTATTAGATCTTAGGTTGGTCCTTAGTTCTATCAATAAGTTTTTTAGCTAGCTTCTTGTTCCTTTTTAATTAATTTGTGGAAATTTGTTATGATATTATAAGTATCAATTCAATTTATTTAATATCTTCTTTAGAAAACATTAAAATTTGTCTCATATTTCCTAAAGTACACCGTTTAAAAATCATTAAATTATATGATAAGCTTAGAAATCTTAGACTTTAGCAACAATTTTCTAAAATAACACCAATTTCACTAATTTAAATTTAAATATAATCCCTCATTTTAACATTTCCACTCTGATTTCCCAAATTGTACAAGATAGGAGAAAACCTCAGCACCTTTATCTTCTGAAAGTGGGACATCTATTATGATGAATTATGGGCCTCATCACCTTGTCTTCCCTCTTCTATTTCAATTTTTTATTCATTTTGTAGCGACCCTCGTCTCTGTTTGGGAATCCCCCAAAAAAAAGGAAGAAAAAGAAAGAAAAGGTTACGTTGTGGAGGAGGGTTAAAAAAGAAATTGCATCCTTTTCGCTGATTTCGAGTGTGCACGAGTGAGCGGAAATACTTTTTCTGCTTATCTACATGCTAAAATCTAAGTGGCAACAGAAAATTTTGGCGAACAAGAAATTGCCAGAGTCTGGGGCCAAGAAAGAATAGACCAGAGAGGCCTTGAAGAAACTGAAGATGGAGTTTGGAGATGGAAGCGATGGAAGCGATGGCGAATGGAAGCCATTGCCAAAAGCCAAAGACTGGTAAAGGGGAAAAGGATTCGGCTGGGAATATGGAAATAAGTTTTATTATATGTGCAAATGCTTATGGTCGTTTTCGTTTTCGTTCTCCTTTGCGGATTTCCCCCATACAGAATACAAACATTTATATATATAGTATAAAATATATATATTTATTCGGACGCTATTTGGTGGCCAAAAAAAAAAAATAAAATGGTATATATTAAAGTGCCCGGCATGGCCATCATCATCTTTTGCGATCTAAAAATGATTTTATCAAAATCTGCTGACGCTGAATTGATTTGCTTCGATTCAATTCGATTTGATGTTCGCTTTGTGCAAATTTATGTGATGTGGCTGCAGTTTTCATAAATGTGGTAGAGCTTGATTCCGGCAATAAATGAAAAATGTTCCCAACCTTTTTTTCTATCTTTCTTATCCTTACTGCTGTGCGTTTTATTGATGGCATAATTTCCAAACACCCCTGAAAATCGTTTTGGAAATCACAGATAGACAGGTGAAAATCTAGAATCCACACACACACACACACACACACACACAGCTTCCCATCAACCGTCATCTATCGCACTCGAGGCGATAATCAGATTGAGGCTTTGACATCTGCTGTTGCTGCTCAGGTGTGACAGACTACAGTGGGACAAACCAGGTATTTCAAGCTTAATTGAAACCCAAGTTGAATGAGTTAATACACAACACTTTAGAGTACTTTATGCAAAAGTTCAAAGTCAATTTTCAGCGTGTTTTTTTGTTTATGCATTCCCCTCATGGTGGTCATGGCCGCAAGTATGCCTTTCAAAATTGAGTGCACGCCATGAGGGGGGGCAACACCACCACTGGCCCCATTGTTTCATTTGCTGCGGCATTTTATGAGGGGGGCTGCGTTGCAGGATGCAGGATGCAGGATGCAGGATGGCTTTGTGGATAGTCAGTGAACGCGTTGATTTCCTACAATTTGGCGGGAACATGCTTTGACGGCTTTGTCTACCACGGAACCTTTCAAACCTTACCAACCAACCCCTTAAATCAACAACTAATAGGCAAAACGGCTTAAAGGGGCCCAAAACTGCAATATTTGCATTTTAAGCGATTGGTAGAAACAATACAACAAAAAAAACCCATACAACATTAAATAATAAAACAATTTGCTGGTGTTTTTTGCACATATTAAATATCATAAATCATAGCATGGCTGATAATTGAATTTATTGCATAATCCTCACCTACTGCATTTCAATTAAATCTAGTATTTTTTGGGCGATAATTATAAGTTTAATGAAGCGGTTACATTTAAATTTAACTTTCTGACTTCCTCTGGCTGAGCTTAATAATTAAATTATCCAAGAAGAGGCTATGTTTTTTTTCTTCTCTCGTTTAACTAATTAAATTATTCATTTGCGTTTGGGTATTATTCCCACATAAAGTTACGCTGGCTGTCTATATCAATATTAGGAAAACAGCAGACATCATCGGTTGTCAAGGGTCCTTCTGGTTGATGTTGTTGTTGTTATCTTGGCAAAAGTCATTTCATCTCAGTTCACTTCATTTCTCATGGTATTTTCTATCTCCCCGGGGGTCATACTCGGCATTGGAAGCTTCAATTTGACATTGACTTCGGTTTTTCTTTTTTTATTTTTTTGTGGGGCATGTGGCCGAAATTGAATATTGCTGGGCCAGGACGCAGGAGCAGAGCCAGGACGCAGGAGCAGGGCCCAGGATGGGTGTCCTCCAAAAAGAAATGTTTGCCAGCGAGTTAATTAAGTGTGTTTTTGCGTGTGTGCGAGTTGGTTGGCCATATATTTATAGACGGGAGTCTCTCTACTGCTTCTGCTGCTTGATTAAACCAACTCGAGCGACTCTCTCGAATTCCAGTTTTGTGTACTTTATTGGTGGTTTTCCGGGGGAAACCCCAGATATGACACCGTGACACGGAAAAGTCAATTAAAAGCGGAACCATATATATGCGCAGAAGTTGTTGAGGAAGTCCTGAATTGCATTCATATTCTACTTAAAATATTGTTTTGTAACAAAGAATGGTTGGAGAGCTATCTTATATATATGTATATAAAATATATTTAATTTCTAATATGGTTTATATTTATATATATTAATAAACATTCAACCTTTATCTTTTCTAAACAAAAAACTTGTTAATAAAGTCTAGTGGAGTTGGATTACATTTCCCCACCGCTGGCACATTTTGCCCATTCAACTGACAAATTTCATTTGTATTGATTAGTCAAAGTTGAGGGTAGGGAACCCACTCACTCCACAATTTCCACTGACAGGCTCTTCAGAGTGAGTTGGATTAGGAATGGAGTGGAGTGGAGTTTGGGGTCTGCGGCTAAGGTCTAACCACCTCGGGCTCAGAGTCAAAGTCTATTTGTACGTTTCAAAGTGTCAGACGGCATTAGAACTGCCTGGCTTTCCTTCTGGCAGTAAGGGTAGGATACTAGCTATATTCGCGGCTAAGGACATTCTGCATGTCCTATGAAAATTCTTGGCAGGCAGATAAAAAACACTCTCAGAGTGCGTGGCCAGCAGAGCGCGTATTTCTATGTATTTCTTCTCAGACAAGGCGACAGGATTCCTAACCATGCTGTGTGTCTATTATTGTTTTAGTAATGTCGGTCTTTTAGGTCCTTCAACTTGAAACCGCCATCGATTAAAGATCTAGTGTAAGGCCCAACCGCTAATTGAAATTGAATCGTTCGAGTTGCCCCGGTTAGATAAGTATGATGATTTGTGATTGGTGGTGTGCAGATGTCTGGTAACAATTACCATTAATAATGAATTGCAATCATGAGCCGAGTGACATGCGTCACTCCATTGGTTGTTATGCGGTGCCTGTGTAGATGAACTTCGAGTTTGCTTCATTTGATTTCGATCTTTGGGGTCATGCATTTAATTATGAGAACATCACTTTGAACTCCATAAGCATATGTGTGTGTTTAAATAATATATATCCAAATATTTGCACTGTAAATTGTGTTTAATGATTGATTTTATGCCAATTATTTTCAAGTTTACACAGTTGCTTGCTAATGTTTGATTTTCTGCTCATATTTTTTTACCCAATTTTCATCAGGGATCAATGCTATAATTAAAGCCAGCCGATTTAATTAGGCATTATAATGATATGCCCGTGTGTTTTCAGATCACCGATGCTGCTGGCTACTAATTGTCAGTTTTGTGTTCTGATTGTCAGTGGCGGGGAATCCCCCCAAAAAACCCATTCCATATCAGGGATTCAGCTGTCAAGCAGTCAGCGTAGTTAATGCTAATTATGTTTACATATGCAAAACGAATTGGCGATATAAGTAGGCACTGATCATATATAATTACACGCATGTTTAGTCGGAATTTACACAGTTTTACTAAATTATTATTGCCAACGATGTAGCATTGTTGTTGTTTTTTTTTTTTGGTATGAGTTTTGTTAAGTTAGTGTTGGTATTTCAATTAATTATGTTTTTCATGTAACAGCGGTGGTTTTTGTAAACTAAATATATTTAAAATTATGCTATATATAAAGGAGCTGAAGTGGTGGAGGTTGCACTTGACTTTTTAATGAAAATTTTAGTCGTTTTAAGAAAGAACTTTAACATGTATCTATTTATTTAAATAAATGAGGATACATTAATACATAATGCCTATTGCTTCTTAATTACTGATTTTCAAGATGAAAACCAAACTCTTATATATTTATTTTTATATATGATTACTTCCTCCAATGCCTGAATTTTCGTGAAATTTTCCGGTGTAAATTTGTTTTTGGTGACGTGCATTTCAAATGCATATATTTATTATTTAATTTATATATTTTATGTTATATCATTTGCAAAATATCTAATACTAAGCCAAACAAAAAATGGAAACGTTTACGTGTGAAAATTAAATTGTTGCTTTTCTGCGGTGGCCACATTTAAGAGACTAATATTTTGGTGGGTTGCTGGGTGTTTTGTTTATATTTTTTTTCTGGGTGGTTCAAGCACACAACGAGCGACAGAGAGAGAGAGAGGGGGGTGTGGAGAGAGAGAGAGAGCGGCAGGCGGGTGTCAGGTGGCAAGTGGTTTTTTTTTTTTTTTTGTTAGCTTTTGGGTGGATTTCTTTGGGGGGGGGTGGTGGGTGGCAGGGACACGCGCGAGCAGAGACTAGAAGAGTTTTCACACATGGCATAAAGTTTATTTTTTCTCAATACTCACGCGTATTATCTTCTGATCACGTATTATCTTCCGAATGCAGTTGACAATAAAGGTAATGACCATTCCGCCGAGAATCAGTCCAAAGACAATCACAATGATGACCACATGCTCCGATTGGCCAGTTGTTTCGCTCTGTAAAATGTATATAGGACATTAATTGCTTTGATTTTAATGAATTGAAGTATATTTTTATAAAACTAAACAAAGAGTTATAAAGGAAATGTATGAATAAATGATATAGTGTTGAAATTTTAATCAACTGTTAAGGTTTTCAGTGTCAAAAAGTATTTTGTTGTGTAGAAAAAGCCTATGATAATGCTTGAACTACATTAAATACCTACTAAATATATTTATTTGTTACATATTCTAATTAAAATAATTTTTTTGATTTTTTTGTTCTATAAAATAAAACTTTTCTGGACATATTTCAATTTCTTACAACTTACAAATGTACTTTATCATTATATAATTTCCTTAACAAAGGTATTTAATAATATTTAATGATCATTTTCATATTTTTTCTTAGAAAATAAGAACAAAAGACAGCTTACAAATAAGCTTTATCAAACTTCATAATTTTTTCTTAAAAAAATAAAAAACAAGAGAAATATATGCCATAAATTAAACAGTCTTTTCTCAATGACGATACTCAAATATCATTTTTTTTATTGGCCACATTTGATGGCCCATTGTGTCTACCAAAAATTTTCCCTATATATAACATATTCACGCAAATACTCGTTTATTCCCATATACTTTATGACAAAATTCAGGGACCATTAGGAGGAGCTGCCAATGGAAGGCCCAGGCTGTCATCATAAATTATATTATTATATATGCCAGGAGGAGGCTATAGCAGGAGGAGCTACACCAACAGCGTGTATTTTGAACCAATTTTAATGTCGGCCAATTAAATAAACATAACTTGTGCATGCGCTCGATTGAACATTTGATTGAAGCCCGCTTCCACATGCATGTACATAACATAACATACACGCTGCAAACGCATTCATTTAATATCGTTTGAGCAAATTAGAGACCATAAACCGAAACCAGCCAATGGCATACCGATGAGAAAAAATGTATTATATATATATATATGTGCCAGGAGGAAAAATAAACCTTAAAATTCGATCTGCAAATGCAAATGACCACCAATTACACCTAATATGACCAATAATTATGAAAGCATTTTCATTTTCATTTGTCCCAAAACGAAACTGTTTTGCTGTGAATGAGAAATATCAACAATTCCGGCTTTAATTGGGCAAGATGTTTAAAAATTCCAACAGAAATTTGGCATAAAAACCCCAATTTAAGTTTTTGTTATAATTAAATAATTTCTTTAACTCAAATATTCTGTTTCATGGGAGAGTTTTATTTGTGACTATTGTAAAAATATCAGTAACTCTATTAATGGGTTTATTTCTTTAAAAAATTAAGCAGGTTTATATAATAAATAATAATGGATGAGGGAATAATCAAGTTTTGTTCATGGAGTCTAGTAGTATAGTATTTGTTTATACTTTTTATGAAAATAGTAATACTTTTGTTATTTCTCTGATAAAGAGTAATTTTCTGTTTATTATTGAACTTTAATATAAAATAAATAAAAACATGAAGGAATGATCTAGCTACAGAATCTGCAGAATTCATTTATATTTATATATATATATAAAGATATGAATAAATCTGTTATATTTCGGATAAAAAGATGTATTCCTTATACAATTAAAGTATAATATATTATAAATAATAATAAAAGAAGAGAAGCCATAGGTTTTCTTCAGTCTACAAATTTGTTTAAAAATCTTTTTAATGAAAATATCAAGAACTCTTTTATGGTTAAGGGGTTTTTTCTTGTATAATTAAACTTTTATAAAATAAACACTAATTAAAGAAGGCAAATTAAAGTTTTTCTATAGAATCTTATCAAAAACTAAGGTTTCAGTACCAATAATAATATTTTTAAGCTAAAATATACCACAAAACAGATTGAGTACAAGCAGAAATAATATATTTTAGAACTAAACGAGGTCCCTTAATACCCCATAGCAATCTTCTAAGCCTCAAGTATTTATCTAAGCCTTTAAATAAGAGTGTTAAACCCTGTATAATTCCTAAAGATTTGTAGTATATTTCGCTTTCTGTCTTACTTAACTAATGCTATACACTATGCTTGAATAATTTTATCTGGGATTTACTACCACAATTCGTTGGAGAAAGTGGCACTGCATGAATCATTCCCTCCCCTTTTCTCTCTCTCTCTCTCTCTGATGCTGACTTTATCAACTTGACTGATCTCTGGCGGGGAGTTCCCCACCCCGCAAATAACTGTTATTTACGGCAACAACAAACCAAGTTGAAAGGTGCTGTGGCAAAAACACCAAAGAAGCAAAAACATCATAGCTTTCCCTCCTGCTCCCTGAAATACAAACCTCAAACTTTGCCAAACAAAACTTATTTGACCAACTTTTTTGTTTGTTGTGCATGCTGCAAGTGTGTGCGTTACGTGTGTGTACGTGAGTGTTTTTGGATGTTGCCATCATCGGCGTGTTGAGCATATTTATAATGAGCACGGGCATTGGGTTTTATTTTTGGGTTGGAAAAGGGGGTTTCCTGATGGGGCTCGTACGAGGGGAGGGGGATACATGGGTGTGGACCCAAAACTCGGTTTGCCTACAATTAGATGCACGTACGAATGGTCGAATTTTATGGTGCCAGTGCACTGTGAATAAATATTAAAGACTCTACCAGAAATAACAATTTTAAAGGTTTTAATATTTTAAATAATTAAAAATAGCGAGAAGAAAGTCTTTTTCGTAAAAGTTTTCCTGTTGAAACGAGTCGAATTTTGCTTTAATTTATGTCTAACATGAAGGAATGTTGCTGGATGGAAATATGTTGAGCAACATTTAATTGTGCTGTTAACGACCCTAAGAATATGGTTAAATAAACTTATTACATAAATTAACTAATCGGCAAAAAATAAAGGAACTACCAAAAGTAATGATTTACAAAGTTAACTTGTTAAAATGTGTCTAATTATGCTTTAATCTATGGAGAAAACTTAAATTTAACAAGGCGTACTGTTGCTAGGCAGAAATATAATGATCTCAACTGCCTTGGGAATATAGTAAAAAGTATTTAAATACACAATTTTACTAATCAGATAAGTAAAGGAAATACCAGCTATAAAGATTATTGATTTTTACTTTTTTTTAATTAATCTTCATATACTTTAATTTATGTAAAACTGAGTTTAACATGGCGGAAGTTGCTTAACAGAAACAAGCTTAGAATATTGAAAAGTATACTAGTAAATAATCAAACTAATTAAATACCAAATGTAAAGATTATTGCCCAGTGTAATTGACTTTTTAATTGAATATATTAACTTGATCCCAGGTAATTTCAAAATGTATACAGGAATTACAGAACTAAGAGTCAGCAAAGTTTACTAACTAACCAAAGATAGATATTCCCCTCGTATATATATTTATATAGATAATTACATTAGTAATCAAATAACAATATAACAATTTGTTCTCTCCGTGTAGGCGTGTCACTTACCGTACATCCCTCCTCGTCCCAGCGAAATTTACAATTGTCTAGGTTATTACATTTCAAATCCTTTGATATGCAGGTCGCGTCCTCGCAATCGTACTCGTCCTCGGTGCAGGCTGCCAAATGCGAAAAATAGAGTTTAAGAGTTTGAGTTGAAGTTTGAGAAAGTTGTAAAAAAAGCGAAGAATCTAAAACGGCAATCAAAGCGCAAAATGCACAGTGGAATGGACAATTGAGTTCTATTGAAATCGCTTCACATAAAATTGATGGTGTCATTCCATCGCCCTTTTTTCCGACGGACAATTCAATGGGTCCTTCATTGAGGTCTAAAAACGATTGAGTGTCGTTTGTCGGCGAAAAGAACTATAAATTTTCAAATGAGTTCTCAAGGATATAATCGAAAGTTTTGTAAAAGGATTCAGTGCGATTAGATGTAAATTTCTTTTTGGGGTGGAAAACAATTGATCAAGGGCCTGGCTTTTATCCTTCCATTAACTCTCTGACGAGTCTGGCAATTAAATTGAGCTGCAAGCAGGGATAACAACTTAAAGTCTACATCAATGGAGGAACTTAAATCGATAGACTCTCTCCACCGTGCGCCAATTGAAAGGCGACGATGGGCGAGAAGCCACAAAGCAAATGCACGTAATCTCCGGCATAAATCGCTCAAGCAACAACAATAATTGCCGATGCTGGCAGTGGATGAAGGAGCCCAGGGAGAGGGGTGTGCTCCTAGAGGATCTCGAGGACCTGCAGGAGGCTCGACGATTTCCTAAGGTCCTGGAGAGTAGAGTGTAAGCAGCAGCACCAGCAGAAGCAGGAGCAGGAGCAGGAGCTGGTCCAAAAGTAAACAATGCTGGCCCGGGGACAAAGGACAATCGTTGAATGACAAAAGAGTGCTTAGCCTTTTGCCTCTGGCAACTGGCGGCAATCACGCAGGACTCCCGTTCCTCCTCACCCCTGCTCATTTCTCAGAATCAGAGAGACAGACAGACATTCAGACAGATATAGGATTTGGTGGCTGACTGGAGATAGTCGGAGTTGAACTGGCAACTTGCCCCACACTAGGGCAAGGGCACATTCGCATCCTTCGCCGGAATCTCCAGCTGTCAAATGGGCAACCGAAAAAGGAGAGATTTGGGGCCAGCTTAGCACCGGATTGCCCCCAGGATTTTTGGGCATGCCTTTGTAGTTTTCCATCCCCGTCCAGGCCATTTGTTGCCAATTCCGAGGGCTTTGCCGCCGAATCGAACTCCAAAAACTCAGACTTACCAGCTCCTCGGTCCCGGAACGCCGTGTACAGAATGCCGAATGTCGAGTTAATCGCAATTTGATCTGCGTAGAAGCGCAAATGTAGGATATTTGACTCTGCCGCGATACTCTCACCCGCCGAACCGCAAAAGTTCTTCACCCTGCAATGTAAAACAGAAATGGCATTGTTAAATAATAACACAAATAATTTGATTCAATTTCAAGAAATAACCAACAAGTGAAGAATTCCACGTAATAGTGATGTGCCTTTCCTTGAAATAAGCTTAACTGCCTATCGATAGTTTTGCTTTCTAGCAAGTTCACACTTGTTCATGGATGTTAAGGCAATTCTATTAAACAATAAATTAATTAGCCAAAAGTCAAATAACCATTTTTAGTAATATTTCATTTTGTTAACTAGAGCTTGAAAAGTCAGAAGTGCAGAATGCATAAAGCATATTTCATTATTTTGTAAAGTTATAAATGGTATTTAATTTTGGCTATTTAAACCCATTTATAAAAATTAAAACAAGAAAGAAAATTAAATTCTGGTAGCAATTGAATTGCTGGATCGAATCGTTGATTTTAACTAAGCTTTAAATATTTATTGATAATTTCATATCACAATTTTTCTACAAATTACAGTTTTAAAAACTCATAACTCAGCCAAAAAAGCATTAATTTTAATTCGGAATGGTGTTCTGAGTTAGTTTTAAGATAGTTAATAATTCCGCTTACTAAGTTTCAAACTTAAAATTTTTTTAATTTTTATCAATTTTTTTTCGACAATTTTAACGATCTAACCGCTTAAAAAATTTTGAAAAAATTTCAAAAATTAGTTTTTGTTCCGACATGGCTAGAAAGATTCGCCTGTTAATGCTGATCAAGAATATATATGATTTGTAGGGTCGGAAATGACTCCTTCACTGATTAAAAATATATTTTCCTCAGCAAGATTCTTGAAATCGACACTTTTATTTTTTATTTTTTTTTTAATTTTTTGGGACAATCAAAGTTTGCAAATTGCATAAATAAGTGAAAAATTCATTAATTTCAATTCGGAAAGTGGGCCTGCATTAGGTTTTTTAAGCTTAATAAATCTGCATACCGCAATAATAATATTAGTAAAAATAAAAGTGTTTTATAGATTATTGAAAATTGTATATGATATTAATTGTGGAAAATCAATGTTTAAAAATTGCATAACTACGTCTTAGATGCATCAATTTAAAATCAGAAATCGCTCGAATATTACATTTTTTTAGCTTGATAAATCTGCATACTTGATATAACATTTAAAAAAATCACAATTTTTGCCGATTTTTTGAGTATTTTAACAATGTAACCCCTTATAAAATTTGGAAAAAAATTACAAATATTTTTTTCCACCCAGAGATGGCTAGATCAACTCTGCTTTTGATGCTGATCAAGAATATACATGATTTCTAGGGTCGGAAATGAATCCTTAATTCCGTTTTAAGCTTCTAACAAAAATTATAATTCGCTGTAAGAATTAAAAAGTTAAATAAGTTTCGGAAATAAACTTGAAGAGCTGAAAGCAAATGTATTAAAGATTTTAATGCAAATGTTTCAAAAAGACGGAATGTCCTAATAAAATTGTCAAATATTGCCAAAATCTTGAATAAATTTAAAGCCATCTTTAATTTAATATAGTGAATAAAAAAAATAAATCCTACGATTGATTATGATTCGATTCTTTACAACTTGCCGACATTGCCTTTGACAATTCGTTAAATATTTGGCCATCGATGACACGCACACAGACGCATACACACACGCATAATCGATAATATCAATAATTTATAATATGGCTTAAATGATGACGTTCACTGAATACTGTATTTATGTTCATTTCGCCGTTTATTGTTTCAATGGCAGGCACAGTTGCGACCCGTCGTGTGCGATAAATTGTTACGAAAAATGAATTTAAATGAAAGCAAAAGCAGCAGCAGCACGAACAGCATCAAATCAGTGGCTTCCGAGGACCAAAAAAGGAAAAAAATAAAAAAGGGACAGACGGGACAGCCCACAGGCCACAGAATTTTCCATTCACCATTCAGCCATTCGCCTTTTACATTTTCCGAAAAAGCTGAAAACGCCAGTCAATCAATTTGAGTGTTGTCCCGAGCAGGAGCAGCAGCAGGAGCAACAAGTGGAAATGTATTGGCGCGTTAAAAGCGGATGTCAATGCGTGTCGAAGATGCCAGAGTCAATTGCTCAGTTGCTCAGTTGCTCAGTCGCTCAGTCAGTCCGTCAGTTAGGAGATGGTAAAATACTTTTTGGCAACAGGAGGAGCAGAATGGGACCAAGGAGATTGGGTTGTGCCAAAGTCAAAGGCGACGCCACTTCCGCTGGCGGTACAATTTACTTTTGGCCGGTAATAAATTGAAATTTTTAGCCTTGGCCCAGGACCCAGGACCCATTCCCAGTACACCGTACCCATTACCATGAAGCAGAGACCATGCCTTTGATCTCTCCGCCCTTTTGGGGGCAATGCGGAAATTGGTTTGCGGCATTGCGTATACGCAACGTGCACGAATATTGCGTATACGCCATCACCACCAAAAAAAAAAAAAATAAAAAAACAAAGAATGCAATTTGTCAGTGCTGTAAAATTTTGAAGCGAAAATGCGATTAAGCAGCAGGAGTATCGAAGGCAAGAACCCACCTCAATGGCATCACAGTTCGCTCCGGGAAAATGTCCAGGAAATTCGTTTCACAGTCATTCGGTTTGCTCAGCTTGAAGTCCAGGAACTTGAGGTAAATCTAAGGGAAATATATACCTTTGTGGATTAATTTTACGTTTTAGAAGTCAATGTAGATAGCTTACCTTCCAGTTTTCCCTGACCTGTATCCGCCAGATGCAGTCCAGAGCGATCTTATTGCGTATGACCTGCTCGCGGATATCTGCCGGCACATCTGTGGAGTTTATGAACCCCTCATAGCCATCTTTTTCAATGGTGCAATTCAAATCAGTGCTGGGTGCCTCTCGATTTCTGTCCAAATACTCGTAAACTGCACTAAAACCCGTGTATTCAATGGTCTCGTCCGAGTGAAAGTGCAGCCACAGGTAGCGTTCCTTTGAGGTGATCTCCGGTGGGAAATCGGTGCCGCAGAATTTACCAATTAACGTGGAGAAACCATACTGACCATCTCGGATCTGTAAAGGATATGATGCTATTAGGTCTACTTGGGAATTGTCTTTCCTTTGGGAAGTTGGCCTAAACCGATTTGGACGGGGCTCATTCAAATCAGGCTTACTACGACTTGCACAAGGCAGCACAGAGAGACAACATTCAATTAAAACTTGCCATTTTTTGGTGCAACAAGGAAAAGTCGTAAAGGAAACAAATCGAAAACTTTGCAACTCCCGGCACAAGAGCCGGGAAAGCCGAGGCAACTAAGCAAGTTTTCCATTCGCTTCCTGCGTTTCCCCTGTCTATTTTTTTGTTTTGTTTTTGTATGCAGCTTGCAAGAAAGTTTTGTGCTTTTTATGCCTTGACCCTTTTTGAAGTGGCTTAGGTTGGGATTTGGTTCTACACAGGGAGAGAAAATTGTAATTTAAAATTCATAAATATCAAAAGAGAACTAAGATTTTATTTTCCATATTGAAATTGTCTCAAATTTTCTCTCCCTGTGATTGTGTTTGTGTCTCAGTCTCAGTTACCAGTTGCGTTGTTACTTACTTCTAGAAAATCAAATTTGCACTCCTCCTTGGCCTCAATATTGAACGAGTTGCGAAAGTCCAGTCGGATGATTTGTCCCTTTGGCGCTGTAATTAGATGCCGTGGCAAAAGGCAAAGAGAGAGAAAAGGAGAAAGTGAGAACTAGGACAAAAGCCAAACACGTTAGTCCACAAGTATGTATATACAACCAACACGACTATTTCATCTTCCCAATCCCAGGTAGTCATGGCCCTGTCAATCCCGTCAGCTTACTTAAAGTCAAATGGCCTCAGGGTTACGTAACCGGGAAACTGATTAACAAACAGCTCACCTTGGCTTCACAAAGCGAAGGAAAAGCTGTGGCTCTGCGGAATCTAAGAAGTGTTAAGGTTAAGCCTTAAGGTTGCAACCCAAAAGGGATAAATATTATACAAGAAAACTCGAAGAATAATTAAATAAATAACTATATCTTAAATAATATGCAAATAAATCAGACATAAGAGCCTGACAGCCACTTGAACACCTATTTTACTAGCCAGGCCAATAAAAATATTTAAATGTGAACCCAGCAGGAACCAAGGATTCAACCACACATCCCTATACAACTAGGACCCTCTCTTGTGACTTTTTTTTGGGTGAAAGTGAAGGGACAAGACCCAATCTCACATACACATATATAGAAAGCAAATGAAAGCATCTGGGGACCCATTTAGTGGCCTACATAAAAAGAAAAAGAATGCATCAAGATGCTGGACACACACTCACACACATTCATTCATTCATTCACTCATTCATTCATTCATTCATTCACACTCGCATTGCGGGCCATACATATTCAAGCAACGATTCCTCGGCGTGAATCAATGGCAAATGGGGGAATCCTCCGCCTGGCCACCTTTCCTGGGCAATGTGGCACACTCGCACACCATCAATTGTCCAGACATTAACACACACACACCCCTAAGAAGTAATGAAAGTGGAAAAGCAGCAATTGGCCTTGAGAGAAGGTCTAGTTCAGATGGGGGAAAGAGTATTCATAGCCACGATTACGGACCAACTATAGTTTCCTATTTAGTTGGTACAACTCCCTCCAGAGATTCTATATAGTTTCGACCTCGAAACCACGTATAAACAAATAAGCTCAGCTGATTTTCCGAACAACTTTGAACTCTCAGCTTTTGCCGTAACCGCAACACTTTTACGACTGCAATCCCTGGCGGAGTATGAGAGGAGACAGAGACCCAACCCGGACCCGGACCCGGACCCGGGCCATAAACCGAGCCTCATCTGGCTGCTGCTGGCTTTTTTGTTGGGCCCTCGCTTAGGCCAACATTAACATGGCCCTTGCTGATATGCAAATAAGCCAGTACGAACGACCCCTAATGCTGAACACAAACGGGATTGCTCTGTCTGGCCGGAGGAGGCTGAACGGAACGGGATGCTGGGAGCATTCCACATATGCTGACATATTTGTGGATTCATATACTGAGGGGAGACCGCTGATGCGTGCTTATGGAAAGTCAATCATTCGCTTTCAGGTTTTATCTGTCAGCTCTTGACTTTTGCAGTGACATTATTTTGTCTTAACTGACAAATGATTTGGCCTCCCACCGACTTTAGATAAGCATAAGCAGCATTCGAGTTTGAGCTTGGAGTTTGAGAGCATTCTAGTTATCCTGGCATCCAACCCCCTGGTTTCCCGGAGGCACTGAAGCGAGTGCTCAAATATGATGGCGCCCCGGCACAATCCCCAATAGGAGGGATCGTATTATAGAGGCTGGGGAAATGGAAAATGGAGAAATGGAAATGGTAGAAGTGATGGGAGATGGGCGATGGGAGAGATGTAAGGGAAGACCGGAGCGCTAACGCTTTTAAATGGGCCACACAGAACGGCCCTGCCATGTGGAATCTGTGTGGAGCATCTTACGCATCAGCGCCATCTAATGCCTCCGGTTCACTGGTTCACCTTACCCCAACCATCCCTTTTCCCATTTTCACTTCCACTCCCTCCGATTTTCCCCCCTGCAAATGACTCCCCCACGCTCCAACCGACTAACTCGACTCGACTCGACTCTCTGACTGACATCTGGTAATGTCAACAGCCAACCAAGACTTGGCCAAAGACTTTGCAATTATTTGCAGTAGCGCTCGCTCGCTCGTCGCCGCCAAGTGCTTGCCATATAAACTTTTACGAGGCCTGTGCACTTCACTCCACTCACACGCTAAGAAAATGACAAAAAAGAAATGCCTCAATCGGATCGAGGACACATTCCCCCCAAACATCTTCCATATACTATCTTCAGTTTCCACATTCTTAGGACTCTCTGGATTAATAAATTCGTCTATAATAATTAATTTCTAATTCAGAGTTAACTTAATTGTTTTCTGTGTGCGCCCACTCAGCAACAGGATGCTGCCAGTGAATTGGCTTCCATCAAAGTTCGTATTTGTCTTTTGTATCTGTATCTATATCTGTGAGATTCAGTTACAGATACTGCCACTGATACTACTGAATTATAGCAAACGAGATAGCTAATTGCCCAGCCGGAGATAATCCACAGAATTGAGTCAAGTGTCTGTCATGAATATGGACCAAGGCATAAAGGGACTTGACTATGAAATATGCAGGGAAAATGGAAAGGCATATTAAATTATCCATATATATTTAGATGTTCTTTTTGTAACATATAAATATATATTAATAGATGTGTCAAATGTGGGAATAGGAAATATTCAAAAGCATTAAGGCTAATCCCTAGGTTATTAATAGATTCCGGTGGAAGATCTTGTCATCGTTCTGGCTTTCATGGTTGCTGTCTTTCTCTCGTTGCCTCATTCTCGGTATATTCTTCTCGTTGTGTTCTCCTTGTTTTCTTCTTCTCTTTGTCTTTCTTCTCGTTGTCTCATTGCTGCTATCTTCTTCTCGTTGCTCTCTCGGTCTCATTGTCCTTGTCTTGCTCTCGTTTTATATCTCCGTCTCGTTGTCACTGCTCTCGTTTAGCCAGGATCACTGTTTATTTTGACGTTGTTTTGCACGCTTCTCACGCTCATTTTGGACAAATTTTGTGCACTCCAAATCAAAGATGGCCTCCTTACGTTTAGCTTGTAGAAGGGGCGGAGTATCCGGATTGGGTACAAATCGTTGTTCGCCTTCCTTTGACGAGCAATCGGAGCCCGGTGGTTTTACTACCTCTAGTCCCAAATTACTAGCGTACGATTCTAGATATTCTCGTGAATAGTAGTTATATTCCAAATCCTTTATCCACAATTTGGTCCGGACAAAAGGCACCATGCCAGGTCTATCGTACATATCCTGGAGTGCAAGTCGTTCCTTGGTCAATATCTTATCGCGAAACAAACGGAAGGATTGGAAATCATAGAAATCGGAATATGAAAAGTAGTCGGGATAATTTAGACTCTCAACAATAATATTGTTGTTTTCGTCCACCGCAGGTATATTTAATATGCGATCAGCTGCGGTCCTAAAAGCCTCCATTATTATTTCTGTGAACTCGAAATGTTTAGTTATGAATAGATGTCTCCTAACCTTACAGACTCACTCTTCTTGCCCCTTTACCTTGTACTCCTTGGACTTCTTGTTATCTTCTAATCACACTCTGGGCCTGAATTCGATTGGATAGACTTTGATTGACTTGATTTTTTTTGTTTAAGCACGTGTTTTAAACTTACGAAGAAATATTCTCGCTTTGAGTTTGAAATGCTTTTGTTTAATATTCTTTTTGTAGCTTATAGTTGGGGGTTATAGTTTAGTAAACTTGAACCAAATGTTTCGGTAATCCAGATTAATCTCTTCCGCCAGGTTTTAAGTTTATTTAAATTAAATTAATAGTTTTTCCTGCTTGTTAGCCAGTTGCGCAGCCGATAGCTCCTTTGACAGTTATCGATATCGAAAGCCACCACCCAACAGCTCACGATACAATTAATTGTATCAGCTGTTTGTGTTGCCAGATAGTAAAATATTCAATTTATTTTTATAACACAAATTAAAATATAAATTATTTATAAATTTGTAAACATGCGAGGATCCTTTTATACAAGGCTGCCTTATAGCATTTGGGGAGAAAACTTTTTTATTTACATTGACTTGGAACAAGTTCTTAGTGGTGACACAAAATGGCGTCGTTTTCCATTGGGTTCATTCGATTTCCAATCGATTTTCTGACTATTTCCTGACTATCACACCATCAAAACAAAAACAAAACTTATTTTGTTTATTTAAAACATTCTTCTAGAAGACTCTTTGATTGAGGTTGGAGTCGACTAGAGTTATATCCCATATTATATATATTACATATATTTCCCATATAAAAGCCCCATATATGACACATATTTATACAAAAAAAAACCCCTTATTTAAGAACTGCAACTCACCTGTTATTACCCGCGTGCAGTTAATATTCTTCGGATAGAGATTGGGATACTCGGGGCTGTATAGCTCATTTTTAGTGGGATCCCCCTCGACAAAGAGCCGGCAGCGATCCACTTGATCCTCCTCCGCCGCCTGCCGTTCGCTTCTGCCCGCTCTCGGTGGCCTGGAGATGGTCACTGCATCCCGCCAGCTCTCCTCCGGGCTCAGCTCACCCTCGGCCATGTCCTCCTCGCGAAAGGGGCGGGTAAATGCCGGAGGCGTGCCGGCTTGAGTCGGCGGAATTGCCAGCGATTCATCGGTTGGCTTGGAGCGATTGGTGATTACCTCACTGCCGGCCGACGCTGCAAGGAAATGAAAAGGAAATGGGAAATGTCAGAGTATTATGCAATTCGAGTGGCAATTTCCATATAAAGGTAGGGCGCTATGTGACTATGTGTGCGACGGTAGCATTATGTTTTTATTATTATAATAAGAATCATGAGTATTCAAATTTATGCAGCGTGAAAGAGAGAGCTCTGTATTTTTTTTTGGCATACCCTTACTGAGGGTCTTATGATTTTTCCTTATATAGTATATAGTTTAATATCAAATGCTAGAATTGTATTAAACCACTCTATAAAATTTATAATTTAATGTTTTAAAATTTTATTAAAGAAGTATCTTTAAGGGCATACAATTTTCTACTATCTTTTTGGTTAGCTTTCCTTCTCGTTATTATTATTTTTAATAATGCGCATAACTTTTTTGCGAGGCAAAACTAAAAGCGAGGAAAATGCAAGAAACAAGGTCGAAATACTAAAAGCATACATATATTTATAAAGTTTAATATGTGTGTGTGTGTGCATTGTGCTTTATTAATTTCATTTTTGCATTTATATAAATGCAAATTAAGTACCTTAATTAATTTGAAATTGAAAGAAATGAAAAAAAGTCCTGAAATATCCTTATTCTGTTAATTAAATATCAATTATTGATATTTTTCTATAATACTTTTTTTTAGGACAAATCAAAGTTTAAGAAAACCTTATTTCCATTATTTCAAATATTAATTTAAAGCCAAACAAAAAAGAATTTAGTTTTAAAGTGAAAAGCTTGTCTGTGATAGTTTTATAAAATGTAATATTTTGTACACTTATGAAGTAGCACAATTTGTTTTTTAAGGAACCCATGTTTTTATCTTAACTCTTTAACAATGTTTGTTTAAAGAGCACCCATAGTACTTGGCATGCCAAAAAGTAGGCAATGCTTATTTTTTTTAAAGCCTTAACTCGCTACTTTCCACTTTCGCTTGCTTGCCCGCACTTCCTCCCTCTCTTTCACCCCCTCTCTCTCTCTCTCTCTTTCGTTTTTTCTCCCTCTCTTTCTGCATGGCCTGTGCCATCTCTTTCTGAGCTGAGCAACTATGACGGCAACTGCAACTGTAACTGAAACTGCACCCAAACAACAATCATTAAGCCCATGCAAAGTAGCCCAAAGCATCGCACAAAACACTCCTCTGTGTATGAGTGTGTGTGTAGGTTTGAGTGTGTGCGAGCATCTGGATGTACTTGTGTTTGTGTGTGTGTATGCACAGGGCATTGGCACAACATTCAACAAAAAGTCGGCTTAGAACCACCAACGAACCTCAGATGCCCTCGATCCCCGAAACTGTGGCCTAACTCTTTAACAGACTGCAATTAAATCTAAGTATATAAGTATATATAAAACCCTGATTTTGGACAGTCTGAAGTGTTTTAAAAACCGCATTACATATGGCTAACAGAGGCTAAAGCAAATCACACTTTGTATTACTGGCCATCATTAGCAGTAAATTGATTTCAATTGACATTCATTCACTTGATTAGGAAAATTAATTTATTATCTATGATGGTAATTAATGATACTTAAAGAAACATACATTAAATGATTTTAGATAAGGGTTTGGGTTGGGATTTCTATAAGCTTAATAGGTTAATTTACTGATTTGGATTATTACCTTGAATTTATGTGTAAATAGATTTAGTTTAAGTTCTTTAATTTAAAATTAAATTTTTTACTCCAATGTTTAGGGATTTGTTAGATTTTTTTTGCTTTTGGTTTTTATTATTATATTTCAAGAAGATTGAGAGAGTTTCAAATTAATTGCATTTATTGATTTATTTATATCCTTTTTTTTTAATTTCAGGAAACTTTCTATAAAGCCTTAAAAACTTCTGATTTAAAGTCGAAATCGTAAGAAGATCATTAGTAAAAACTGGATTAAAGGTAAGTCTACTTTTGAAAGTATATATTACTATTAAATATAAATATAAAGATAAATATATATTAATAATACTTGAAGACAACCAAAATTAGACAAGATTTCTAGATAAAAACTGTAACTGTAATATAAAATATTATATTAAATGAATATTAGAAACCTTGAATTTATGGGCATTTGAAAGTATTTTATTGCTTTTTAAATAAATAAATATTTGTATATCTATAGATATATTTATATATATATATGTTTATAAATATATTTATATGTATAGATATATTTATTTATATATTTATAAATATATTTATATGTATAGATATATTTATAAATATGTTTATATGTATATTATATATTTTTTTATAAAACCAATAGAAAATGGTTATAATTATCCTGTAATTTAAAAAAAATATAAGAAGCCTTGAAGTTATATACACATATTCGTATTTTCTTTAATAAATACACATTTTTTTATAATCACATTTTTAAGTTCTTTTTAGTTTTTTAGTTTTCTAATATAAACATACTATTTATTATATTATATTTATATTTGTTATATTATTATTTTATATTTGTTATATTTATGTGTATTATATTTTTATTCATATTTTATATTTTCTTTACATTAATGAGTGCTTAGGCTTAGTCCTACTTTTTGTGTTGATTTTACGGGTCATAGGGTATACATGTGTATGCAGGATTCGTTACACCAACAAATAAGGACTCTGGCACACACACACAGTAAAGTACACACACACTTACAGTACACACACACATACGTATACACGTACGCAAAGAGACATGGGGCACATGTGAAGTGTTTGCCTCACATTACATGGCTGCTAGTGCCTAATGATGTAGCAACAAATTTAATAAACATATTAAGTGTTGATGTTTTTGTAATCGCACAGGGCAACGCCAGATGTTACTCCAGTTTCAGTTCCACTTTGCAGTCCTCCTTTTCACCACTCACACACACAACACACAGAGGCACACACAGAGGCACACTCACTATGCTATGGCATCCATTTTGCCGTTAGTCAAAAGCTGCTTATTTCCGTTCTGATTCTGTTGTTGTTTCCGTTTCAGCTTCTGTTTTGCTCCAACTAACAGCTACCATGTACCATGCACTCGTTGAGGCAACTATTTGTCACATCAATTAAGCGGAATGAACATTAAAATTAATTTTAATGCGTTTATTAAATGGATTGCTTGCTAATGAACCGCTTAAAGTGTGCCTAAATTTAGTTGCTCTCTCTCTCTATCTATTTCACTAATTAAAATTGCCACAATTTATGGTTTTCCTGAATTTTGGATTTTAGTGTTTATTTTTTGTAGAAGATTTATTATTTTGTTATCATAATAGTTAGCAATTCGATGGGTTTTTGTGCTAAGTTATCCAACCATAAACCAAACTCCGACTTTCTGACAACGTTTACGCCCCTTTGACAGAGCTTTTCCTCTGGGTTTTCCCCCCTCCCCCGCAAACCAACTTTTCTGCTTGTAAAAATGCAGCATTTAAGTTGCCTTTAGATGCCAATATGTGATGCTACGTGCATAACATACATTTATCCCCCACTCGCTTGTCAACTCGTTGCATCTCAGACTTCATCGCGCTGTTCATTTATATTCATATTTCCATATGTCTGAGTTGGTGCATTTGTCAGAGGGTTACTCTGTGTGTGTGTGTGTGTGTGTGTGTTTATAAAGTATCTTTGCCACGCCCTCCATACCATACATACCGCCCCCCTCCCTTTTGGCGCTGCCACAGCTCCACATTCCTCGCTGTCGTCGTTTCGTATGTATTTTATTCGTCGACGCAGTTATTTGCTTTAATACACTCAATAGACTTAACACATTTTCCACACCCGCACCACCCACCCACTCTGTGTGAGTGTGTGTGTGTGTGTGTCTGTGTGTTTTGTAGTTTTCAGCAATAAATTTTGCATTTAGCTTGCACTGCCAGAGACACCCAGCCGGGCAAAAGGCAAAAGGAGCTGATAAAATAAAAGGCATTGGATAGAAAAAAAAATATAATAATTCATTGCAAAAGAGCCGGGCGCAGTGAATATTATCAGAAAATCATCACTGAGAGAGAGAAAGATACTTCTTTGAGTTAGTTTCACCAATTGCTTTGTATTAAATATAATTTAAATGCATTACATTAAATAGTATTCATTATTCAGGGCCACACTGTGCCGAGTTTCTCTGTTCACTTTGGTGGCTATAATTGCAACTGTGACTGTGCATATTTATAGTTTTGTATTGTCTGCCAGCCAACCGAGAAATGACTAAAACTGCCTTTTTGAGCATCAGTTGAAAAGGGGTTGGGTTGGCGGGTTTGTTAGAGTTCGTTTTTTCGGGGTTGTGTAGTGTAGTAAGTAGAAACTGAGGAGAAATGTAACTAAGTGTATAATAATTTACAGTTTGCATTAAAATTTTCGTTTTGCCAACTGGGACTCGTCCAGTTTCTACAGCATCTCCTCCAGCATCTCCCCAAAAGCTGCAGTTAGAGAGTACATAATTTTCTCATGACTTACTAATTGCTGGAAGCTGGCCTGCTTGTTGCTCAACTGCAACTTTTACAATTACGATTTGTATTGAATAAATTAAATGCTGAAAATGTAGCCACTCCTTCATCTTTTTTCAAGTACAAACATACATCTTTGTATATATTTAAGCTCTTCAAATTCGCTTTGATGTTGGGCAAACACGAGAATGCCAAATCCATAATTGAGTGTACAAATAGTCAAACATTGATTAACCATTGAATGGCATTTGGACTCCCCGCCCCGAGGGGTCAAACGGTGTGTTTTCATCGTATTTAAAGTAATCACAGTCAAAGGACAATTCAATTCAATATTTCAAATTAAATGACACACAATTCATTACAAAATTCAACCATGTGAGAATTCAATAAATTAATTGGAACTTTCAAGATAGTCGCACTGAGGCAATGCAAATAATTATGGCTTACTATATTTATTTAAAAGCAAACAAAAATATATATTTATTTCAAGACAAACAAAGGATTCAAGCATTTAACTTTGAAACTGTATCAAACCTTAAATACAACTAGGAATCGCTCTCAGATTTTATTAACAA